ATATGTGTGTGTCTGTGTATGTATGTGTCTGTGTATGTGTATGCGTATGTGTATATGTATATGTATATGTACAGTATGATATGCTTCCTGCCCGAAGGTTGGCTTCTGACGCTAAATGCAGCCAAGCTATTGCTTCCAAGCTCTGAGACTTCAACTGCAAAACCCCTAAACCCTTTCAACTTACGCTATCAATTACACTAAGTCCCTTTAGGCGGAGCAACATAAATCCGTAACAACACATAAACCCAACGGCTGCATGAACACCGAATGGATAAAAACCTGACAACTTGTCATTCCGCCGATGACATGGGCGGCGACCACAATGGTGACTGCCACCGCTCCGGCCACAACCACTCGATTCCTTGGCCTTGCTCTTTCTTTCCGAAATCCTGAACCTTGAACCCACAGTCCTCAGCCCGTAAAGCTCTTCAAAAAATCCTTGCCATGAGGATCACCGTGATCCTTCAAGACCCCATACACCCTAAAGCCCCGTAAGTAAAAGAGCTGGGACCTTCAAGACAGCGTTCTAAACAGGCACGGCTGAAGCGGGAGAGAGAGGCTGGTGATGCCGAGGCATTGGGATTTGGTCTAAACAAAAAGAAGAGGTCTGAATCGTTTTGAAAAGCTCCCGTCACATTGAGGCACGTACGTTTCTGTTACTATACTGTTTACTGTACTTCGGGCTGTTTCCCGTTATACTTTTTGGGTTTAGGCTTTTAAGACGGGTTGGAGAAGGGTTTAGAGGCTTGGGGCTTTACTAGAGTCGTCTCTGGGCTGGTATTGGTGAAACGTACGAAGATTTACCAAGTCGATCGCGATGTTTGGATATCGGGGTCTAGGGCGCATCGTGCTTGATGAAGCCTGACAGCATGTCTTGTTCACCGGATGCAGTCATCCATCGCTCTCCAACGCCCGCTCCAGGATCTATGAAGTTAATTGCCAACGGACGTCGTAGACCATCGGTAAGCTCCCAATTCTTCGATCCACTTGTCGCCTGGACATGAGAATGATACCCACGAGAAGCAACTAGCTGGTATGTGCAATACAATCAGTTGTATATAAAATTTACACAGGTTTATTTATGTGTAAATGTATGTGTGTGTGTGTAGACCTGGACAGGCCAGCCTGGACCCCAAGTACGCAAAGATCATCGATCGCTCCTTGATTCAAACTCAAGTTGCCGCCTCGGGGCTTTCGAGGACTCGGGGCTTATGGAGGCATGACTGGTGAGTGGAGAGACAAACCCACGGCTGCACGCAGGGTGTGTAGGCCAGTCGAAACGACTCCTCCCTTTGCAGAAGTTTGTGTGCATTACAAGTTGGTAGTAGTACTTCCAAAACTGCGCAGGCACTAAACTCACTACACAGTCCGTGGCCACATACATCGGTCAGCAGCAGCGGCTAAGTTTGCGACTCGCTACTAAAGCTGGGAGACAGCATCCGCCTGGCATGGGGGTGGTTGGATAGCAAAGCCACAGCAAGAAGATCTGCTGCCCGATGACTGCATCAGAGTGCAACTGTACCCAAGCCAGCCCAGATACTTCGCGCCCTGCGTGAAGTTTGGGAATTTTCGCTTGCAGGCTTCCGGCAGAACGTCAATCCCTTGCTGAAGAAGACAACCTAGTGCTGGAACCTCTGCTCGGAGCGTGCAACAAGGCTGCGTCCTCTCTTGGCTTTGGGGTTCAGACTGTTGTTGCCTCCTATTCTCAGCTACGGTGTCCCTCGAAGTGTTAAGCCAGCATGCTGAACCAGGCACATAGCAGCTGATCTGGCTTGATCATCATGATTGCCATCCGACTTCAATACTTTGGTGCCTATACTGCCACTCTGTTCATCGCCACGGCTCGTGTCCTGGAAGTACGAGGAAGAGAAGCCAAGACACCCGAGACCAGCACGATTCTGACAGATGCGTCGCGCAGGAGCACAGCCCACCATCAGGCAAGTTCCTGTTTTGCAGCATTGGCGCCCTCCGGCCAGACTGTCTCATCTTCGACCAATGATCAGTGATCTGCTTCTCCGGTCTCTCTCTGCGCTAGAACAGGCAAGGTCTGGCAACAGACCGGATCCAGGAAAAAGGAGTTGCCTCAGATTTCAGAAGCTGCGGATCTCACATCATGCGTCCAGGATCAGTTCTAGCTTGGGAATTCCAGAAAATTGGGCCCTATATTTGTAGGACCAACAAAGCACAGGTACACAACGCAAGCCCGTCAATTACGTAGCCCCCACGTCACTTCGACCAGGACTTTCTCAACAGCGGCACGCGCCGGTTTATCATCGCCGAAGCGAAGGTGCTGCATTTGCTGTAGGAGTCGGTGGGTTGGGGCGGTGTTTCAATCAGAGCCTGAACACCAAGAGGGATGTTCAAGGCAGCCGTGCTTGCTGTTCGGGTGCCCATCGGAAATCCGATGATTACCGTTTGCCGAAACCCTTGGGCAAGTTCTCTCAGTGAGAGGAGACGACAAGCTAGTGGCCAGCGATACATCCCTTTGAGAAGTTTCGGATCTCAAGACCCCCTATTCCGACTTGCCGACAGGTAGAGAGCTCGATGCAACAGGCGATCTGGGTGCAAGGGCGCTACATGTGTAGGTATGCACTAATTGTGCCGAAGGCTTGCCCAGCAGCACTGTGGCTTTCATGCTTGTATCTGTCGTTTCGGGATGTCCAGACCGGACAAGGGAAAGCTCCTTTAAACCCTAAACCCTAAACATTTTGCATGCTTAAAAACTGTTTTTTACCCGTTGTTTTTTCTGAGTTTCGGCTGCCTTGGGGTCAGGTGCGGACTCTCCGACTGCAGGCGCTCCAGGGGTCGGCCATGGGCTTTTGAGGGGTCAAAAAAAAAAAGCTACCTTGGCAGTCCAGCTTGGTTTTTTTAATGGGCCCATATGGGTTCACTCCCTCCCTCGCTGCTAACAGCCCTGCTCGGCCCCAACCCTCACTTTCTGCTGGACAAGGCACCCGGCAGTCCGGCAAGCAGCAGCTCCAACACCGACAAGGGAGTGCAGCCGTGCACTGAGCATAGATGCCTCAATGTATGGACGCGAAACGTCAGAACTTGGAAAAACGATTGGGTGGCTGATTCGCGTCTCTGGGTTCAGAGGAGGCATAATTTGGGAGTCACATGTATCAAAGCCACTTCGCTGGTGCCATACTCATCGTTCCCACGCCGCCGAGGGTCTGTGCGGCTCGGGTCTCCACCGTGGTATTAGTATGTGATTAGTATATCACGAAAGTGTTGAGTCCATGTTCCAGGGCATGATTGTCACAAGTCACAAATGCTACTCGAGGCCGGGTGCCTCACCCGAGATAGATTTGACCTCAAGGAGCACAGGCACAGATTTGAGCCCGAGGAGCACAGGCATAGGCTGCGTTGCGAGACGAGGAGCTTGCGCTCTTAGATGCCGACTGGGCATGGTCCGACATGCTTCGGTTCTCAGCGGCTCCAAGAGCGCGAAGACCCGAAGCTCACGTATGTCTTCAGCTTAGCCCCCAACCCCAGACCGACGTCCCAACGAATGGGATGTTGGCATCCCGATGATAAGTACGCCTCAGAAAAGAGCACGAATTCGGAAGAAACCTACGTTAGGCCCGAAAAGAAGCTTAACCCAAATAGCATCAGTGAGAAGAAGTAAACCCCTATCCCTCACTTGAATTGCCCTTGATCGGCAATGGCGAGAAGGCTGCATGCTGAGGTTGGACGCTCCCGCCGAAGGCGGGTCTTAGCTACAACCGAGTGCGATGGAGTCTTGATTGTTTTGGAGCGATTGTTTAGCCTTTGCACGCTATGCTTATAGTTATGGTGCAGTCGATCCATACGAGTTTTCCAAGAGGCTTCAAGGAAAGCTGCACTAAGGAGTTGGGAAGAGCATCTCCATCCAATGCGAAGCCAAGATGGGAGGTACTGCAGGCTGGGATGAAGCAGCTTGGGGCATTCTGCAAATGCTCGAGGAACGCAACGTTTGTAAGGGACAGTTATTGTCCATCGATGCCCACAGTGACAACGGTCTTCCCATCATTTCAGCGCACTACGCTGCAGACTTGCAGGACAATTGCCCTCTGAAGTTATGTTTTTCTGGCAGGGCAGGAATCACGGATTCATGGGACCAGATCTGTCGCACGGCATGCGACGAAGCAAGGGGCAAAGACATCATCTCAATGACGGGATCTTGCGAGGCCGATGGCACTTCAGCATTTTATGTCTTCTACAATGCAGAGATCACGAGGGACCAGGGCAAGATTGAGTATGCTGAATGTAGTGCTGACTCATGGAATGCTGCGGCTCAGGGTCTCATAAAACTGCTCTCCAGCAAAGGAGTGAGAGATGGACAAATAATCAATATCGATGCTCACAACAACGGGCCAAATGAGGCAGCCATGTTCGCAGCTTTCTTTTGCCGAAGCTGGCCTTCGAAAGGAAACTTGAATTTGGTTTCTTGGCACCAGAATGACGACATTCCTTGGGAGAAGATGTATGAAGGTGTAACCAAGTCTGTCGAGGCAGTTCACAAAGAGCAGCTCTTGGGCATCACGGGGTCCTGCAACATGCACAGGCGGGTCATGTACGCCTTTTGGCAGGTGTCGGCACAGACAAGTACAATTCAATATGTGGAGTCCCGCGCCAGCTCATGGAATGGTGCTGCTGACGGCCTCATCAAGAAATTGGAAGAGGCAGGCGTTCGCCAAGGTCAAGTGTTGAGTATTGATGCCCACAACAGCGGCGAAAATGAGCAGTCCATTTTCTCGGCACACTACCTGAAGAGTCTGGAGGATCGTGGTGAGCTAGACATTGGGTACACCGCTCAGAATAGCTCTAGCAGTTGGGAGACGTTGTACACGGAAGCCTCAAAGCATGCAGAGGGCAAGGACGTGATTTCCATGACTGGAAGTATCAATACATCTGACAGATCGGTGTTCTACGTCTTCTTCAACAAGGGTACTGCAGACACAGGGGTTGACAATGTGGAACATGTTGAGAGTCGAGCGGGGTCGTGGAATGAGGCAGCTGATGGCATCATAAAGAAGCTCAGGGAGCACGAAGTGCAGTCAGGCGGGAAGCTCCCCACTCAAAGCCAGGTTTGCTTCGTGGCAGCTACTTGAGGCTCCATGGGATCCCCTTTTCGAGGAGCCCTCTACGATGGGAAGTGGGAACCCCGCTACTTCGTCAAGACCTCGATCCGCGCCAAATAATCAGAGTAAACCGAATAGTGCTGAATCCCCAGCCTTGTTCCGAAATCTGAGGCCCTGAAGCGTCAACCACTTCGCCCTGCGCGGCAGCACAAGTCTAAACCTGTTTATCGGAGCTCGCTTCAGGCCAGATCCTAAGCATCGATGCCCACAACAACGGTCGGAACGAGGCTGCCATCTTTTCTGCGCACTACTCCAAGACCTTGCCAGGCTATGGAAAGCCCAGGCTGAGGTGCAAGTTCGGAGCTTTGGGTTTTGGGTTCGTCTAGAGGGGATGTGTTGAGGGACGAAGTCCCCGGGCCACCTAAAGAAACCCTGAGGTTCCGGTGCCAGAACACAGCAGCAAGCTGGGACCACCAGTACCACACAGCTTGCTGGCAGCTGGCCAACATCCGCACATCTCCGGATCAGTTTGTGAGCTTGACGGCATGTTGCAACGCAGGCGATCGTTCTGTGACCTATGTCTTCACAGATCATGCAATATCAAACAGTTGTCGAAATCCTGATAGCCTCGAGGACTCGGAGTGGTTTGAGCACCGAGCGAGCTCGTGGAATGCCGCGGCCGACGGAATCATATCAAGGTTGCTGGAGGAAGACATTGGCAAAGGACAAGTCTTGAGCATCGATGCACACAACAACGGGGAAAACCAGGCAGCTATCTTCTCTGCACATGTTTGCCGGAACTTGCCAAGCAAAGGCACCCTAAACATCGGGTACGTGGCGCAGAACAGCGATAAGACATTCGCTGAGTTTTGCGAGCAAGCTTGCAAGGATGCCAATGGAAAAGACATTGTGTCCATGACTGGCAGTTGCAACACCGACGACAGAGCCGTCTTCTATGTTTTCTTCAACAAAGACAGCCCCTCCGACTTGGACGGAGTGGAGTTTGTGGAGGCAAGCCAGAAGACGTGGTCGGGCGCAGCACGCCAGATCGTGGAAGCATTAGAGGAGCAAGGGGTTCAATCGGGTCAGATCTTGAGCATTAATGCCATGATAAGACAAGCAAGTGGTGGCACCCCGACATTCTCCGCCCATTACAGCAAGAAGCTGCAGGCTAAAGGGAAACTGCGTTTGCGCTGGGCGGATCTGAATTCAGAAGCGCCTTGGGCCCACTTCTATGACAATGCCATGGAAACCCTCGCTGGGCTTCGACAGAAAGAGTTCCTCTCCTGCACCGCTTCGGCTAGCTCGCCGAACTCCTCAGTCATGTACGTTTGGTACCAAGATACGAAATCGGGCAGCTACGAGAGCGATGCTCCTTTGAAAAGCTGGAGTCTTGAGGGCGTGTGGCAGCTACAAGCCAAATCCGGCAAGACCTCCTTCATTGACCTCAGCGACCCTACGAACATCACGCTGCTCGGGGAGGGCGTCTGTGGTTCTTGGTACGACGGCCAGCTGGATTTCTCTACCAAGCATCCGAGATTCGAATCCAAGTGGGAGGTC